TTTTAGCAGTACAACCAAAAATATTGATTTATGTATATTAATAACTGCTTAATTCCTCCAAATGCCATTTAGCTTTGTTGTACATCGCAGATGACTTTGTAAAACTTCGTTTAAAATTTTCACTGATTTCCTACCATCACATGTAAATGTTAGGCGGACGTTGTTGCATAATTTTCTTTATGACTAGCTCTTTATTAACCTGACCCGCAGAGCAGAAATAATTATAAGCACATAAAGCGAACAAATTGAGAATATGGTATCAGCAGGCTGTCCAAAACCAACAAAATGTGTGTGTAGCACCGTTTCCGAATGAAAGTGGGGTTTGGGCAAAACGCCTCTCAGAAGCGCGCGAGATCCGCCGTCGTCCATCCGACAATGACGCCACAGGAGTGTCCGTTTTACACGGGCATGCGACACGGATCCGGCGATGTCCACAGCCTGAGAGGGCATTGTCATTAAGCTGAATGATCCGTTGACCAAGGCTGATCAGATTACGCCAGTCGGGAGTCGCCCAGCATGTCAGCAGCAATCGGCACGTACCGCTGCTTGGCCACCGTATAGCAGTCGGGCACCGCGCCACGCGCCGGTACATTGGAGGTGGGCTGCTTTTGCAGGTCGTCGTTTTTGCTGCAATTCCGACAGCAGCACATGGCCCCGATACAAAAGAAAATGCAGCCGAAAACGCAGCTGATGCAAATGGTCGTCACCACTGCCGTGCTGAGTCCTGCCAGTACAGAATCCGTTTCCATACCTGGAAAGGCAAGCTTTATATCGTTATTCAGTGTATATACTATTTAGTTACTCGAAACCACGCCTAGGAAATAAAATCCTTAGGCACCAAAGCGACTTCCTCCGGTGTGAGTTAGCTACGAAGAAAGTTCATTACAACGGCTACAGCTCTTTCGAATTTCTCATCAAGCACGTGAATGTTTTGGTGATAGAATTCATAACAACAGGCTGAAGTTACCTGCGAAAATGGAAGCGCTCTGTTTCACATTCCAACGCCTGTGCGATCCTTTCATTTTTCGCATTTCCAGACCTCAGAAAGGAAGGAAAATTTTAAGGAGGTGCGGTGGCATAGTGGCACAGAGGTCAGAGGTAGGTTTCGAACTCCGAAGGTGCCAATCCGGAGTACCAAGAAGGGACGATGTTTGTCTAAACCCCAAATTCCTTGGAGTAAAGAATCTACTCTACGTTACTTCCATGCAACCAGTCGACTGTTCCGTGTGGCAAATTGGCACAGGGTGTAACCCCGTTATAAATAAATTTACCGAAGTAATGAATCATGGAAGTTGAATGACTACGCACAACATAGTCAGATGGCACTGACTGCAATGCAAACCTGTGTGAAGTATATTACATCTAGCCTTTTTTGAAATGGCCATCGAGCAACCCTCTTCTACCACTGATAGCGGAAACGGCGGAACACCATCAATTATCACTTTGTCGGACAAAAGGACTGGAGCCACCATCCATATCAGCCACAAAAAACCACGGTGAAATTATTTCTTTGCGCTACTATATCCTCTATTCTATATACAGGGGGTGATGTCTTAATGGCAGGGCGGGAAAAAGATTCAGACTATGCTTGATAGCCAATACACAGGAAAAGTGAGAAAATAATTCCCTTCCCGCCAGCTGTATGGTCAATACCTGCAATGACGTTTTGCAAATTTGCGTGATTCCTGTGAAAAAAACAACAACATTTATAATGCTTATGATAATTATTGTTACTTTCAGTCTGAAATTACAGTTCTTTAGGTTTTTCTTTTCTCGGCTGCAACTGTTTAGCAGTAAGCGAGTTTGTTACCATTTAGGTAGAAGGATCGCCGACGAAGTTATATATTTCAAACCATTAAATCACATTTCCTGTCACAGCAAAAAGTACTAATCATCGAAAAACTTAATCCATATTGAACTTGGCCCATAGTCCATTTCGAATCGATAGGATAGCTCGACAACGACCTGCTCGGATGAGGCACAGAGGCTTGAGGACTCAATATAATGTAAAGTGAAAGCAAGCGTCAGGCGAACGATGAAAAGACTGACAAAATTGAACTTATGATACTTGTTTTCCCCCTCTATGCGTAATTTTTTCTTAATGGTAGCCAGCCTTGTTTTGTCGATATGGTAGCTGCAAACTAAAGAGAAATATCAATCATATTTTTTACCGGTTGTCACTGAATGCTGAACCGTAATTAATTAGGGGATAAAAAATGCAAGCTTAGCCTGTATGACGTAAGATCGAAATGATGAAAAATGGTACTGTCAAAATTAGGTTGATTCCTGAAAGAAAAAGCTCAAAATTTCAAATCAGGTAAAGCACTAGATTTGCAAGGTTCGAATCCCCGTCAGCATTCATTCAGAAGTAATTAAAACAGCATCATACCATTAGGTGAAAAGAAAGCGGGAGACTATAGTAGTTGCATAGTTACACATCGTAAACATCATAAAATGACTCTAGCGAAGAGACCTTTTTTACTTCAAGGGGGAAAGGTTATCGGCATGGAGGTATGGACCACTTAGAGGCAATGAGGCGGTACAATATGCCTTGAAATCTGGTCTTAGAGGATATATATACTATTTAGCTCATATATTGCATTCACAGAGTGAGTGGGACAGACGTCAATCATAGTCATATCGGAAATATTTAACTCCTGCGAACCTCAGTGTGAAGAAAAGGAAATTTTGTTATTGTTCGAAAGTGTTTGTCTCTTAATACTTGCAAGATGGGTAGTAGGTTGGATACGCTCGGTCATAGGGTTGCCAGTGCGGTGCTGATTTTTCTTATGATACCATCAGTCAGTCTTTCCTACTGGTAAGAAAAGTATATATCTACAGGTAAGTAGTTACGATATGCATAATCTGCCGCTTTCCTTCTCTTCAGAGGTACTCGACTGTTTCGAAAAGACGATGAACGGCAGGGTACTACACCTGGATTCGAACCAACAATACTAGAACTTATTCTGACACCCTACAGATCGAATATAGTACTGTCGCTTTGAACAGCACCGTTCGGGATCAAGGTGAGTTAACGACAGCTCGACTTTCAGTCTGTCAGTCTAATTACGGAAAGGCAACATTAACCCTCGCCTGCCTAATCAGATAATTTTTTATGTTCAGAAAGGACATGAGGCAAACTAGATGCATTTATTGCAACTGCACTAGGAGCCGGGTTTTCATCTTAGATTCCCCAAAGGCCTGTTTGTACAAGTGCGCGTTTTCGGGATCTTAAACTGCTGGAGTAGCACATCAGAGGGCCGCAGTAATTTTAAACGAAATGCCAGAGGCAGCTGCTCTGCGCTGAATAGACGGATTTCATCAGAAACGCTAGTGTGAATAATCCAACTCGCTTAATTCGTTAGGAAACGTACGTCTCTGTAAGAAGGGCAGAAAGGAGGAGCATTCAGCAGAAAAAAACCGGTGCACAAAGCGTTAAACAAGCGCACGTGCAAGTTTTAAGTGACTAAAGCCGTCACTCGTCATGGACAAAGCCGTCACCTCCACAACCTCACGTCGATCACCTGTTTACAGTATGGCTATTGTGGGTTTGTAAACCATGTAGCCGTTCTGCGTCGTAAAGTGCTTGGCTGTGTATGCGCTTTCGTTCTGCACTGTACATCGTCAGATGACGATGGTGAAGCAACGATATGGACTTAACGGTGCTGTTTTACTGCCTGTGGTTTTTTCTTTTTGTCAGCTGTTTCGTGAAGAAGCTGAATAGCGGTGCAAGCTCTTGGCTTACTGCACAATTAACGATTCTGATGAGGTTTTGAGGAACGACGATTCTGAGGGGCAAACAGCGTCAAGGTTTATGCGTTATCCTTGTTTGAGTTCAGATCTTCGTCCGCCACCTACAATCGTCCTTAATAATCTGGTAATGGTTAAGTGGTGTGCTGCCTTGTTGGCCGACCGAGCGACGCTGTCGATTTACAGACACTTGTACTTCTGTCCAAGCCGTGCCGTTCGCAGCTAACTTTCAGCATTAATCAGCCTATCCGCGCCGACGTTAGGTTTTTCTTCTGCTGGTGTATTCTCGGCACGTTCGACGATCGGCGATCGCCGATCGACCGTCCTTTGGCCCGTAGAATCGATTTCCACATCGTACACATCCGATCGAAGATTATCGGTCGTCGGCCCGGTGGTGTGTCGCACTTCACCGCTGAACAACGCCCTCAGAATTTCTGCAACCTCAGCAGTATTCTGTAAGTGATAAGGCTAATGATCTTCAATGATTAATCCGCTTAAACGCTAAACAACACAACCAAAAACAATAACATCAAAACGTCACAAAAAACACTTGTGTGCTGATTCATACACAACGCAAACAGTATGGTCATTTCGGTCCGATGATTGAGCACTACCGACGTTTCGTCCCGTGTTTCATGGGCCTTCTTCAATGTAGAGAGGTCGGTAGTCCTCGAAAGTTTTCTGTCGCTTGCAGCAGCAGTTGGTACGTTCAGCGCCAGAAGACTTTTTCCTACCTTGAAGAGAGTTCCTGAGACACGGGTCGAAACGTTGGTACCGGTTAATCAACCGATTGACCACGCTGTTAGCATTGTGTATAAATAAACCGTGTGTTATGCTGGTCTCAGTATTATCACTAACGCACGAACCAAACAGCCAATATACCCATTTGGAGTCAACCCCTTACAGACTACCGCTGTGAAAGACTGTGATCCCGCATTAAGAATTCAAGTAATGTCTTTGAAAATAACAGTACTGTAGGTGTTCCTCAGAACTCATGTCGCCGAACTTCAGTAGCGAAGATGACACTTGATGATGACGTATTTGATATGCTATAAAATACTCGGTCAATTTTCTGTCTTGAACATTTCGAATGTCTGACAATGAACCGAATGGAGCTATTTCATTTTGCTGTGGGATCATGGGACTAGGTTCGAAGAACACAAGTGTTCGTAACAGCGGCCCGTGTACTATCACGGATACGTTGTCAAGAACGAGTGTACAGATTAACAGCCGAATTGTTTCATGCTGAGCTACAGCATGTTTATCTAATTGCCTGATAACACATGACGATCATCGGATATGTCAATCGTAGCAGAGCAGTTGGATGTTGCTCGATTCGAGTCTAAAAACTGTTTATCCAGAGCCGTGACTCTCTGTCGCCGAAAAGCCGATTGAACTTGTCAGCAAAATAAACATTTAAAAAACGAGTTTTGAGGAATTCACCCTCCTCCTGGCATTCAGCTATCGAAACATTTTTTCGTCTCGCCACCGCGTTCGAAAAGGGAACTGGCGACGGCGCTTCCGCCTCATTATGGATGTGGCTTCGGGGAATGAGAGAAAAGGAAAAAGCGTTTCAAAAGGCGAGTGACAGTTCGGACGGGACCAACGGATCGATTGTAGTCTCATAGTGAACAAAGAGGTGTAAAAAGATGTAGCCGGCGACCTACTTTCACAGCCGATGGACAACTTCAGGCTCCGGTCGGTGTCGGAGCCATCCGGACAGTGAAGTACGTCGTCACAGGCCAGCACGCGCGGAATGCACATGCCGTTGCCGCACTGGAACTCAGTCATGGTGCTACAACCGCCGCCTGAAACGATGACCACCGTCGGTCAGTGATGTCCGAGACACTGGTCAAGGTGGATGTCAAAACGGCATACCGTCGGAGTTACGGAACGCCGTCCACTTCAGGATGAAACCACCCTTGTATTTCTCCAGTACCGAGTCGGTGTGCCACCAGAGAGTCATCGCGTTGTACGTGGACGTCGCCAGCAGCGTCCTGTTTTTCACCTTGCCGCAAATTTGACCGATGATTGGCCCAGGGCCGTCTGTGGCGTCCGTTGTTCGTGGTTTGTCCAGCTAGCACAGCAAAACGTCAGAATTGTGACTGTTCCGGGTGGAACGGAACGGACTTACGTCAAAGAGGTGTAGCGTGTCACCTTTGCATTGGTTGGGCACACCCTCGACCAAAAATTCGACCGCCTCGATCCTGATCTTGTAGTCTTTCAGCGTCTGCAGCACAATGAAACAATTTCTGTTAGGTCGGTACGACACCTGGTCGTACGGCTCGTGCGAGTAGATGAAGCCGCTGAGACCCTCGATTACGTGAAACTCCTTGGTCTGACACAGACTGTCCTGAGGACCGTCCAACACTACTGCAACGCAAGCAACAGTATGCAGAAGTACGTGTGACGACTTTCAACGACTCACCTGTTTTCATCGGGTACGACTTGATGGCCACCGCCATACACAGAATATCCAGCATGAGGCACGAGTGCAGCATGGTTCTCAGCGACGGAGGTTCGTGAATCTGAGCACGCGCCATGATTGAGGACGT